TGGGGAATTCTGGGAGTTGAAGTCCAGACATCTTAAAGTTGCCAAGGTTGAGAAACATTGCTCTATCCCCTAACAAGCTGTAGTTATAAAGTCCATCCTCCCCATCAATTCTCCAATACGAGTTTAGATGATGGGATTTGCTGTCTAACAAATCTGAAAATATACTGAAAAGCAGCAAATAGTACAAAGAGTCTTGATCATTTCACTATTCCTCTCAAAATCAAATAGTTAACCAGAAACAAATGAAAGTTCAAACAACTCATGCATATTTATGAAAGATTAAAATATTTTAATTTGATGAAAATTACACTCAGCTGTAATTTTTGTTCTATGACTAAAAAAGGTGAAAAAAGTGAAAGAAACAAAAATTAGGTCTACTGCCAATTTAATTTCAGTGTTCTCACATTTCATCAAATCTTTATTTTAAGGCTAAGAGGAAGAAAGAGAATAGACAACAAGCTTCTGAAACTGAAAGGGCAAAACTACTCAGCTTTATGTAATGTGATGCTAAAAGATTATGAAATTTATCATTACAATAACTGTTGCAGAAAAATTAAAATGACATGCTTTTGCAAGCACCCATACACTAGAAAACCAGTTTTGCTGTCATTATACAAAAATAGGTAAGTTGGAAATACCACTTGCAAACATTATTACCTGATTAACCAATATTATTTGTTTGTATGTAAGAAACTGAAACATTTGGTCTAAATATGTTTCCTCATGGAAAATATAAAGATGTTAATGTTAGAATAGTAAGCTTTCTCAAAAACGGTTGGTATAAGAATAATCTTTACAACAGCTTATTAACCAAGAAGAAATTAAAATCCAAAAAAGGTTTTAGGCCAACCAGGTCATTTCCTGAAGGAAGGATCAAGTTAACAATCACATTAGGAAATATTTAAAATATTTTGGTAGGCAGGTTTGCTGGAAAGCAACAAGTACACAGAATGATAGCTTGCATATCCTACTTGTGATTCCCTAAAAGCATCTGGTTGACTACTGCCACAATACTAGACTAAACAGACTTCTGGTTACCTCCTCATTTCAAGTCGTTAAATGGATCTCAGAAATAATTTGTTGTTGTTGTTGCAGGATCCATCATAAGAAAACAATAGCACAAAACTTCTGGTGTAAGTTCAAAACAACCATAATAATTTCCAGAAGAATGTATAAATATTAATTGAAATCCAATAGTTTGTTTACTTGTACATGGTGTACATTGTATTGAATATTGTTAAGTGTAGGGGAAAAAGGGCTAATCTGTCTTCTTTGTCAAAGCAGCTGAACTGTCATTTTGAGCCAGATGCTGAATCCCATGTTGCTCAACTAATTCATGATAAACCTTCACATTCTTTCACATGATTAGTTAGAAGTAATCATGTCTTGATAATCTGAGAATGTATATCTAAATACTATTTAAAAATTAGCACTACCAATTTCCACCTCACCACAATTTTATGAAATAGAATGAACAATGAGATATTCATAATGAGTAGAGATGTGCAAGATACATTTTGTCCCAGACCATGGTGAGCCTACTTCTGAACTATGCTGTCCTGGGAGAGGTTTGGCAATTTCCGGAAGTAACTCTGAACCAGAAGCAGTTTGAGATGTTCCAAGGGTGATCTGGCTACAAAATAGCCTGTTTTGTCCAGAACATCATGTTTGACCTGTCACACTTCTATGTTTTCATAAAAGCATATATCTGAGACTCCACACTGAAAATTAAGTAACAGATACCATACTATATCACACAAATATTTAAAAGAATGTACTTACCTTTACCTTCTCTTCTAATCTTCCTAGACGTATATTTCCTTCCATTATTTTGTTGAGAACGCCATGCTTCTCTTTCTCCAAGGAACTGGCCTAGGGGAATGCAGGAACGTAGTGTGTGAGTTCTCAATGGATTTTCCTCTCTAAAACTTATTCAGCTAAATTTTAAGTTCCCAGATGGTAGAGACTGGATAAGAAGCTATTTTAAATCAAACAATATTCAATCATCTACCCAGTGTTACCTAGCTGACAAAAGCTCCCTACAATTTCCTGCAGAAGTCCTTCACATAACTAGCTATGTGAGATCCTTTCAGACAATGATTGTCTGTGATCTTCTGGTTCAGGAAATCAAGCCACTGTTCAAAACTAAAGTGAATAAGACATCCAAATACTTGTCTTACAAAATACAAGGATTTTACATCATTCCTAGATTTCTTTAAAATGAATACTGGATTAAGTGAAGTTTAAATATATGTTATCTTATTTTACATGAAGCATCCTAACTTAGCACAAGAATCTACAGAAAAATATGTGTGAGGTGCTGCCTTAATTTATATGGCAAGTTCTTCATTAAGTTAATACAAATTCAGTGTATTAAAATTATTAAATAATATAATAATAATTTCTTCTTCTTGGAATAGTTTTATGGAGTACATTCATCTCTCATCATAAAAAAGGCCAATCTATTCAGCAATGGTGCATGGCATATCTAAAAATTGGTGTTTGGCACCTGTAATTTTCAGGAAAACGCTTTGCAATGTATGTTAGCGCCACAATATCAATCAAGTCTGCTGTCATTCACATTCGCAACTTAAAAACATGCATATTTATTTAGAAATTACTCCCAAGAAACTTATTCTTAGTTTGTGCATGCATGGGATTACAGACCATGGGTCAACCACGGTTTTCACTGTTCAAAACATTTTAATATCTCAAAGCATTATCTCATGTCTAATATTTTATTTTATGTGTATTATTTTATGTGCATTTTAATTTTTGTACCATGATGGAAATGCTTTTAATTTATTGTATGGTTGTCTATCACCCAGAGTTACTTTCTGAGATGGGCAGCCATACAAACGGAATAAATAATATAATATAATAATGCTTTCACTCCTTGAAGGTCAGTCTTTTGAACCAGAAATTAAATATGTCTTTGATTCTTTTATTTACCAGGTTTAAAAGCTGATCACGTTCTTGAGTTATACTTTCTGCCAAGCTGATCATATTTACTAGATACTGGTGTGCAGCCATCTCCTTTTCCATTGTTTCTTCCAAGTGCTGCTTCAGAAGACCTATCTTCTTCTGCGATCGCCTGAATGGTTTTGTTGAAAGGCAGAAAAAACTCTTAGGGATCAATTCAAAATCAGTTCTATTTTAATTCAGTATTGGAATTCAAGATTCACAACATGAAATTATACTTGTTTTAACACATCAACCAGACAATAACAAATCAGTCATCAAATGTCCACTGAAACAGGACTGTTTTAATGGCTTTGGGAAAAGCCCGCAAGGAGAGTGCCAGGCATACCTTCAGGGATAAAGTATTGTATACCATGGGGACAATTACAGAGAAAGATGACAACATTTTAAAATGCTTTTCTCAGCTATGAGGACTACAAATATGTACCTTATTTAAAACAAGTATTAGCTTTACTTTGATTATAACATTAAACTCAACCTTAAAAAGCTTTCAGTATTCTAAAAGAAGCAGCCCACTTCATGTCTGATTACCAAAAACTGTATTTTTGAGAGGGTGCAAAAGAAAGGAAAAAAAACAAGAACAAAAATAAGTCAACCTTTTAATCTTCTGTGCCATTTCCAGCTCAGCTTCTAGAACCTTGTTTTCTGCCTTCAGGTCATTTTTCTCTAGAAGAAGGCTCTTTGTTTCTGCTTGAACAGACGCTAGTTTTTTCATTAGTTCCTGCGTCTCCATCTCTCTCTTTTGCTGTTCCACCTGCAATTGGCTTCAGTAACAAAAATGAAAATCAGGCAGCAAACAAAAGTACCTAATTCCTAACTTGGAGAATGTATTGAACAATTACAATTGATTCAGTAGTGAAAAAAAATATTTCTGATGACATGGCAATTATTGTAAATGTTAAAAGCTAATGAAAACATTTGGCATATAGACAGAACCCACTTCATGAACTCTAAGGAGCCTAAACCAAAACAGACTACCAAAAGACTACAGGTCAAACTAGACATGAGTTCAATCTGCACCTGCAATTAACATGCAGGCTTTTTAAAAGGAAAATTGCATCAGCGGGGATGGGGATATTACTTTTGTTGCTGGTGTTACTATAGTAGGCCAACCCTTAATGAATGTACAGCACTTACAATACAACACACAATTAAAACTAAATGCACAGGGTACAAAAATCCCAACATTATAACGTCAAAAAAGTATTCCAAATCAAATGCTAATAACAACAATATAAGAGCAACTCAATAATCAACAGCAAACATTCCCCAAACACCATCTGAAAAAGTTTCGTTTTCACCTATTTCCTGAGGGCCATTATGAAAAGGACCACTCTAACTTTCAGAGGGAGACTGTTCCAAGATTGGTGCCAAGATGGAAAAACAGCACTTTCTGGTCTCAGCCCTCCTCACCTCATGGAAATGGGGCACCATAAGCAGCTTCTAATACCATGGTTGCCACGCTCCTGAAATGGGATCTTAACTTTTCCTTCCCTTATTATGGTGCTGCTTGGCATCATAATTCATTCTGAAGAAAATTCCTCAGTGCAGTAGCAATGCCAAAGGAGGGATTCTCTGCAGGACGCCAACGCCTGCAATACAGCACACAAAACCCCCAGCTTGCCTATGACTCACCCAGATGGTGGACACAGTCCTCCAAAGTTTAACAAAATATATCTTTCTTTATTAGGAAATGACTCAATCTTGTGAGACCACAGAATCAGGTAAGATTTCAAGTGTTCTCTCAGATAAAATCTCATGTGATTGGATGATCTTTTAAGGCTTCAGTCATTTCTAAAAGGTGGCTGACCTCTGCTATATAAACTTAAGCAAAACTATCTTCTGATATGAGGTTGTTCTGTCATTTGGACAAATACACACTACTGCAGGCACAGTAAGATATATCAGCAACAATATATGGAAAAAGCAAAGAAATTACTAAATAAAGCTGGAAGTGAAATAAATACATATAAAAATGCCAAAATATTGTAAACAGTAAATATATAAAAGCCATTGACAAGAATGGAACTTTTATAATCAGACACTTACTTTTTAAATTTATTTTCCAACGAGATGTGTTCCTCTGCTGTTACATAATCACTAACACTGGCCTTTAATTCTTTGTATGCAGAGCGTAATTCTTCCAACTTTTTCTGACAATCCTTCATCTCCACTTCTTGGTTTTGTTTTTCAGCTTCCAAAATAATGAGCTGTTTGGTCAGTTTGGAAACTGGACCAAAATTACAAATTGCCCAAAATACAAAACATTGGGGGGAGGGGGGAGAAACAGTTATTCTGATGGAAAATCACATGACAATTTTTGTTCATATGGATATTTTTGATTCCAGCCTAGTGTAAAGTTGCAGTATTACTGTTAGCTAAAAGTCTTCCTTTTCACAAGTTTAGAATGTCAGTGGCAACTTGTTAAGCACCTGTTAAACAGGCTGTCAAAAATAAATTTCATTAAAACAGTAAATATTCAGGTCTAGCAACTTCAGTGAAAAAAGGGTCTCCTTCATTTTGTCCCTTTTGTATCACCAATGACAATAACTTGTAAATGAATACAAATGTACGCATGAGGCAATGTTGTTTATTTTATATATTCTGGTTAATAGCCATGTTTCATTTTACTATTATCATGATAAAACTCAAATGTGTACCGTCTTAAAATTAAATTATCAACTCTCCAAAGTTTTCTTAAGTATTACAAACCAAAATAAATCTGAAAAGGTTCCATGGCTGAATTGATAATAGTTACTGATTATCAACACTTGTAATTCTAAACAGGCTTATAAAACTTTATCTTTGGAGGTAAAATTGGTATCTCTTTATTCACATTTGTTGACCGTTGTGTTAAATTTATTTCACCTTCTTTAACATGTTGGTTGATGGTATCTTTTATTTTGGTTTCTTGTATTTTAAGCTGCTCCATTAATACTGTATTTTCCTCTAAGACAAGCTTGGCTTGGCTTTGCAAATGCTGCCTGTAAATAAACACTGATTTAAAATTTGAAATGACACTAAAACTTTTTGCAAACAGTGCACTAAATAATAATAATAAAAAATCCAAAAGGCATTTAGAATTTGTGTGTTCTGTGGGAGAAATCTCTACATAGCTACTACACTCTGAACAATCACATTTTTTTCTGGACAAAGTCTGGTATTTCCCTTAGGGGAGCTTGCTTGGCATGTGATGTTTCTGTTCTGCCATCAAATGTATACGTGTGTGCGTGTGTGCATGTGTGTGTATGTATACACACACATATACACATACACACATATACATATACATATGTATGTATGTTACAGGCTTCATTGATAAAATATAGCCACTTAATAATAATCTAATGGCAATAGTTATTTTAAGCTTGAAAATAAGTTTAATATAGTACAATTTATACTTATTGTACTATTTCTGCTTATTTATACGTTACTGGATTTTTACAAGATTTAATATAGCTTAAAGCCATCACAGATAGGTTTTTATAAGCTAGGTATAATAAAGAAGCAATCTAACAGGTTCAAATAATAGTACACTTGCCATTCTTTGGTACTAATAGAAGTACCAATAGTATTTTTACTTAATTGTTGGTGTAACTGTTCATTTTCCTTCACTACTTCTTCTACTTGTGCTTTAAAAATCTTCATGTTCTCCTGAAGGAAAAGCAAAAACAAAACATAAAAAATATATTCACCACGATAAATTCTACAGATATGAATTTGGCTCAGTTTGTGACGAGCAAAGTTAAATCATTACAGAAATATATATTGCCTTTTAAGTATCCCAACAGGTAAACACACTTGCCTACCACAATCAGAATTTATATTATAAACTCGCATTACGTATTATAATGTGGTCTTTAGCATCTCGGAAGTGGCCAATTTTTCTTAAAAGTGATGATGAACTAGCTGAGGATAGGAAATAAGGTCCATTTATATAGAATTTAAGACTAAGTTCTCTTGAATAGCAGATAAAGTGATAAATCTTGAACTACAGCATTCCAAACTGAAGAGGGGGAAAATTATCCTCCACATTAATACTTTGTTATCTAAAGTAAAAGACAACAGCCTGGTATTTTTCTTGATAACTTAGTTTCTGTGCGTAAGAATCTTTTATCTTCTTTTCTGTCTTGTTATATATCTGAACATTTGGCAGCATTAACTTGTAAAAACCATCTATGTCTAAAGATATTCTAGACTGAATTGCATTATACAAATGTGAGGAAAATATGTTTCAATTTTATTTAGGCGTTCCCCTTCATCTGAAGACTCTAAAAACTTACTTCCTTCACCTAAAAATTTATTTTCCTCACCCAAACATTTTCCTAGTCAAAGTGCATTGCATGGACTTTAAAGCACAAATCTGTCAACTTGCCTCATGCTCTAGAATCAAGTCTTCCTTTTCCCTCATTTTGTCTTCATATGCCAGCAGAAGAGGGGATAAATATTTCATGTCAAGCTGAAGAAAATAAGGAAGGAAATTTCACTCCACTAAAATGTAGCTCTCTAATTTACACACAATATTTTGATTAAAACTTAGTGAAGATTATTTAATCAGCTAACAATATTTCTAATACCTAGATAATTCCAAAAAGCAAATCAAAAGAAAATAAAAGGGACTATAGAAACTCCCTCAAATACATTATTGTCAGACCTCATGCCAGGCATGGCAATAAATCTCAGGAATGTGCTCAGAGCAGAAGCTGCATGGGATTGATTTTGCAGACAAGATATAAGCCACATATACAGTATGAAGAATATCTACTATTATAGAAACAAAGCCCTGTCTCTCTATCCCTCTACCAACTCACCCACTCCTCCCTCTGTCTGTCCCTCCCTCTCAGGTTTTAAATTCTAGGGCAGTGTTTCTCAACCTTGGCAACCTTAAGATATGTGGACCAACTCCCAGAATTCCCCAGCCAGCATGGCTGGTTGGGGAATTCTGGGAGTTGG